CCTGAGCAGGGGTCATGCGCACACTTTGCTGAAGCTCTTCGAGTCGTTCTCGTAGTAGTAGGTAGCAGTAGCAGTAGCAGTGGCAGCAGCAGTAGCTGTAGGAGTAGCAGTAGCAGCAGCAGTCGCGGTAACGGTAGTATCTGTCGTCGTCGAAGCATTGGGGGTGGGAATGGTGGTAGGAATGGCACTTGCAGCCGCAGGAGGCGAAATGGCAGTATGGGAGGATCGTTTGCCCACTGCTAGTTGCAAGCATGTGCTGAACACCTCGGCGTTACGAGTGTTTTGGGGTTTTGGGCAGGTTCATGGACATCGAAACTCGCGAAACGTCGGCCAGGGCAGCATGTCCTTCTCTTGACGGAAACAAAGTTCTCAAAAATAAGTGCACATGGGAGGCTTCCAGAACGTTTGCACGATTGATGCTTTTGAGGTTTATGGTGATGCAGCTGGCGGGGCATGTGTACTTTCACCAGTGGGTGCATTGCAAACCATGGACGCATTAGAATCTACGGATCCCAGACACCTGGGCGTGAGCAAACGACCAGGTTGGATTCTTGAACCGATAATCGTAGCAGTTGCATAAGCAGCGGCAATGGTAGTCGTAAGTAATACGTAGTCGTCGTAGTCAGAGTAGGAGTCGTCCTTGTCGCAGTAGTATTCGTCGTGGTGGTGGTATTAGGAGGTGGTAATGGTAATAGCAACAGCAACAGGAGCAGCAGGAGGATGAGGAAGCGGCAACAACAAGAATGACGATGATGAGTAGGAGGAGGATGCTGATGACAATACTGAAGTGAGTTAGCACAACAATCGCATAAGTAGTCAAACCATGCAGCGAGAACAACAATCAAGAACAGAGTCAAGAAGCTGCGAAGCCACAAGACAACGGCCAGGCTCCAACGAGCGACATGATCTGCTTTCACCACGGATTCTGGACTGGCGATCACTCTGAGACAGTCCCAGTGGCAGTAGCCCTCCGCAAGAACATCGTGGATCATCGACGCCAGACATGACCTGACTGAGAACCTGGGCATGGGGCAACTGGGGCCACAACAGGGCCTGACAGGCGGCCTATGTTCTCTGCAAAGACGCCTCTGGGCCTCCGCACTTCAGCGATGGGGCGCTGTTCGCCGCAGGAAAGACAGCAGCTCTCCTGGCAGAAAGAAGCGAAACACCATCAGTCGCGGCCTATCAGAAGTACACCCTGGGACGTGCCTGCATGCTGCCATGCACTTCCACCACGCGCTCTGCAGACGTTCCTGCTGCTTGGTGAAGCCCATCCACGTTCCTTGACAGACTGCTGCACATGGCGCTGGCCGATTCATGAAAGAGGCGAGCTTCTGCTTCTGATGTGTTGGATGCCCAGCTCTTTCTCGCCGAGCTTCTGTGTAACCAGCTTCTGCAGCTTTCTTCTCTCCTGTCAAGCCGCGCTTCTGCAGCATGTTGAAGCAGCACCGGTCCCCACAAAGAATAATCCGCCGTGGGCGCATTCCAGTCTGCCTGCAATACAATACGAGTCCTGTGTCCTCAAGATGCAGCAGCGCACGGTGGTCAGCGTTCGGTTGTGGCACGCGACCATCGGAACGCATGGAGACCATCATGCGCCAAAACCTGGCCACGGACGCAGAGTCTGCGGTTCAATTTCGGCAAGCGCGCTGCTAGGCTTTGACCATTTCTCGCAGATTGGTACGGAACGTCTGCATGTGGCCAATCCCCCGAACCGATCCGGCAGAAGGAAATAGGGCCTATGGTTCAAGCCAGAAACTGAACAAATTAACTCCCAAGTCCCAATAACTGAGCAAAGAACGCTTTTCGAGCATCCTCATCGCTTACAAAGACGGAGATGTCGGACGCCTCCTCTGCACCTGGACACGGAGTAAAACAGCGCACGTACTTGCACTGCACTGGAGTGTCACAAGGCTATCAACTGGCCTGGATTCTTTGTCCAAAGCCCATCAGGTCCCCGAAAATCTGGAATTCCCGAGTCCGTGCCTTCGCATGGGTACATTTCTAGAGCGCTGTCGATCACAAGCACGCACGGGAAGATTCAAACTTGCCAAATTGAAGCGGAACCATGCAGTATCAGTATTGCAAGTTCACTGCCGAGTGGTACCACATTTGCTGCAAGAAAGCTGCTGACCCCAGCCCCGGTGAGCACGACGATGCGAGATGATTCGTCAACAAGCCTGGTGAAACGGGGATTCGGGACATCTGAAACCAACTTGAGCTTTCTACTTCCATTCTTGCTATGAACCAGATGATGCCTCTCGGCCTCTGCCGCCTCAGTCCATGCCGACTCCTTGCTTCAACACACTCCCCGTGATGGGCCCCATGAAGCCTCCTGGCTTCCTCCGAGCTAGCCGAGGCCATGGGGCACGGAGATCCAAAGGTGTTGGTGCTCTGTCGATGTAGGTGCCGACAGGACTGTCTTGCTTGTGTGCCGCTACCTGAAGCCTTTTCCCCTGGCCTTTCATGAGTGCATGAGCTGCGTGTTCCTTGTGGTCTGTAAGCCAAGGAAAGCTGAACTGTAGCAGATTCCAAGCTTTTTGGCAATTCTTTCATTTCCAGACGATGGCAGGAAATCAGGAGTGCCAGGCCTCGGCTACACCGAGAGAGCGACCTGAAGTGACACAGGGACCAGGCTGCGGCGATCTTCCACGGTGTGAACAGGTCGCATCCAAGAAACTTCGCAGGGCTCGGTTCGAGCTGCCGCTGGCCAAAGGGAGGACCTGGCGAAGACACGGACAAGCGATGAAACTGCCGGAAATCATTCCTGCCCAGTCGGTTGGTGTCTCAGGCTGTTGCACAGACCACGGCCAGAAGGAATCGCAGGACAAGTGCCTCCCGAGAGTGACGCCATGGAAACTCAAGACTCTTGGGATTCTGGCAGTCGGCTGATTACAGAATCGCGGCACCACGATGCATCGGTCCTAGTCACTCGCTAGGTCGCTAGGTGTTTGCGCATGGCCTGCCGTTCACTACCGAAATCCTCGGTCCGATCCAAACTCATGACTGCGCGAGATGGTCTGCCGTCTGTCACGCAAAGGCTTGCAAAGGCTCATGTTCATTTTTCTTGACAACTGCAAACCATGTGAAGCCGCTTCAACACACACGTGCTGCGTGGTTGGCTGCTCTCAGCATGCAACGTCACGCAAGACACTTTGAGCAGACGCCGCTACTAAGGCCCCGGCAAAGGTCATGACCGCTACGGGCGCAGGGCCATCGCCCGTCGGCCTCAAACAATCGAACAAAAACGAATCCAGCATGTATGGGAAAATGTCTCAGTCCTGTGAACTGAGCTGCGGACCCACGGCGTCAAGACATATGACGCTGATTTGAACCAATGCAGCAAAATAGTCGTGATGGATGCTAGGTAGCCAACGTGCACAACAGGGCTGGGGCAAGCAAAGCTGCAAAACATATCTCTAGTTAGGCCATTTGGAACACGCAAAAAGGAGGAAAAATAACGCCCAAAACCAGCCTACACGCACAGACAGATCGGCGAGGCCCAGTTCGGAAGCAAAAGGACGGAAAAGAGCACCTCAAGTAACTTCTAGCGGTTGTATGGGTTTTGAAGGGTTTCGAACTCTGTACGGATTCCAAAGGGTCTTAAGCAGTGTTTTATACGGAAGTTGGAAGGAAAAAGATTGGTCTGGTTGGATGGTGCGCATCCCACACACGACGTATTCAATCAACAAGGAGCCGTCTTCTGACGGGGGAAAACCCTAAAGGGTTCCTACTCTCGCAACTGCGGCTGACTTTTCCTGTCACCGCACTGGAGTGTTCAGGTCCTTAAGCCTAAGCGTCGAAGTCGCTTCCTGGCTCACTCACGACATTTTCCTATACCGTAAGCTGTGGTTTAACACCCCGCCTGCGAAATTGGGTAAAGTCGTTCCAGACTTAGCTGGCTTCGAAACCCTTTCCTAGGCAACACACTGTTTTAAAGTTCCTTTGCGGAGACTGCAGACGTCCACTGGCAATCCTCTCCCAGGTTGCTACTGCTGTACACACGTTCTTTCACTTTAACATAACAATAATGGTCGCACTTGGATCATCATCCTTGCCGCGCAAAACAGTTTCTACTCGCGCGAACGGTTACACCATCCTTGCATGGCGTTCCTGCTGTTGAAAAAGTGCTGCCGACTCAGTTCTTTTCCTTTGACCCAAAGAAGTCTTAGTCTTCGTTCCTTTGACTTTGCTTCTCTTGGCTCCCTTCTGAGTTTGGCTTTGATCTTCCGTTGTCCTTGTGATCTTTGCTTCTTCTCTTTCTACTGGAAGCTTGGGTCGTCGCTGCTTCCTGCTCCTCCTGAACTTTGGTCTTCTCCTTTTGCTTTTCGTTCTCCTTCTTTCTCTCTTTTCTTCTTTCCTTTGTTCTTGTTCTTGCCTTCCTTGGCTTCCTTGGTTTTTCTTTCCTGCTCCTCGGACACTTTTCCTCCTTTGCTGTCTCTTTCCTGCTTCAGGTACTTCCGTGCTTCTGGGTCGTAGTAGTACCAAAAGCACGAGTCGCTGTTCCACTTCCACTGAAACCATTCCTGGCCGAACGGGTAGATCGCGTACAGGTTCCGGTTCCTGTCTGTGTCATCGGTAACCTCTGGCTCTCCGTTACCGAGCACAAAGCCTGTTTGCTGTTGCGGTCGTTTCTTGTTGACTTCCTCGCGTGCATCTTCCTTTTCTCCTTTTGTGGATCCTGCCTCGCTTCCTTTGTTGCTTGCCGACTCTTCCTGCAACTGCTTGATCCTTGCTCTGTCCTGCTGCCTTTGCTCAACCAGCGTCTCCAGCATCTTCTGCATTTTGGCCATCCTTTCCTGGCTGGATCCTCTGGTCTGTCTTCCTCTGCTTCGATTTTCCTCTTCCTTTCTTCTTCTTTTGCTGCTGCTGCTTTCTTTGCCTCTGCTTCTGCTGCTAGCCTTCTTTCGCTTTGCTCTGCTGCTTCTCCCAACTTCTTCCTGGCAAACTCCTGTAGTCCTGTAGCTTCTCCTCTTCTTCCTTCTCTACTTTCTCTTCTTCCTTCTTCTGTCTCCGCTCTTCTTTCTTCTTTCCCATTCGCTCCCAGTACTGCCTGTCCTCGTCGTCCTTGGGAGTAAACTTGATTGGCCTTCCTTCCTGGTCCTTCTTTCCTTCTCCTTTTCTTTCTTTTGTTCCTTCCTTTTCCTTTTCTCGTGCTTGTAGGCGTAGTCGTACCCGTAGAACTCCTTTTCTCCTGTGCCTTCCAGATTCTTCTTGTCATTTACGGCGCATCTCCACGCGGCGATTTGACCCTGGTGAAGTTGGCCTTCATCCTCTTGGAGAATTTGGTAAACCAGCACCTGCCGTGTAGCACTTGAACTCCCCAGTCTTGTCCTTCCTCGCTCACCTCCTTGATCCTCTTTCTGACCCTTTCTTCTTCGTCTTCTTTGCCTTTGCTTGGGACTTTCCTCTTCTCCTCGGTACTCCTCTGGACAGTCCTCTGGCCCTTCCGGTCCTGGGTAACTTTGCGCGTCCAGGTTCTCCTCGTACAACATTCCTGCTTCTTCCTGTTCCTCCAACAAGTCGAAGAGCTTCCTGTCGTCGTACCGGCTCATGTCCTCGTTTGGGTCCTGTCCCGTCCTTCTTTGCCACTCTGAGGGCTCTCTCTTCCTTTTGATCGAACTGGTAAGTGGGGTAGTTCCATGACCATGTCCTTCTCGACCATCTGTTCCTTGAGCTTCTCGTTCTGCTCCATGGCGTCTCTCTTCTGCTGTTCCTGTTCTTCAAAGTACTTGGCAAATTCTTCACAAGCTTCTGTCATAAACGTCTGCCACTTCTCTTGAAAGACGTCATCCTTTCAGCTAACATGCTGATGTTCCTTTCCTGCTCGGATCGGGTGACTGCTCGCTGATCAGGTCCTGAACGTCACGCTTTACTTTTTCGATCTCCTCTCTGCTCTCGATCATCAGATTCTGCTGGGATTCCTGACAACGGGTCAGGGCTTTCAGCTTCTCGCTGTCTCGATCATCAACTCGCGGAGTTCCTTGGCCACACTTGCCGTTGAGCTCGGTCCTGGGCTCGGCGTAGTTCCTGAACTGCTACTACTGGCCATTGCTGCTTCTACCTGGCTCTTGAGGCTGCTTTACACAACAGTCACCAAACTCCTGACAATTTCCGGACCCAAAAGCGAGCGCTACAGAATCTGAACCTCGTCTGCCGATGGCCTCTGCTACCATCGCTCTCAGTCCGCACCTGCCGCAGAAACTTCGACTATCCTGCTCCGAAACGCAGTCGTTTTACCAAGATCCTGCATCGCGGGCCCACTCATCTTCGCCCAGGCCTACCCACAGCACCCTCAGCTCGGTCCTGGGCCCTGAACCCGAAACGTGCTCACCTCCCAAGAATGCTGCTACCAAGAGTCATGTCGTTATTCAAGCAGCACCGCCTGCCTCCTTCCTCACATCTTTGCCTTGAGACAGATCGGCCTCTTTTTGGAAAAGCTGATCAAAGAGCAATCTGCCACAGAAACTCATAACAACGCAACGTTCTAACCATTGGACGACAAGAACTCTCTGCCTGGCCTGGACACTCCTTCACACATTCATCACATTGCGTCTGGAGCCGATCTTGTCATAACCAAACACTTTCATTTGAAAAGCTAACCAAAGTCCGACGGTTTCCTGTGGTTTCCTAGCGGTTTCTCACACAGGATAGGGGGTCCTGAGGGT